TTTGTATTCAAATTCAGCCATATCCATCCATCTAGGTTATGTTTTTTGTTGTTTAGTTTTTATTGACAGATAATTATTCCAAATAGTTATGGGGTACTGTGTGATGTAAAAGTTTTGATCATAACATTGAAGTCATGGTAATTAGCATATCCATCACCGTAAATATTTATCATTTCTTTGTATTGAAAAGCATTCAAAATCCTCTCTCCTAGCTATTTGAAATATAGAATGCATTATTGTTATCTACAGTCATCCTACTGTGTATCAGCGTACCAGAATTTAGGGGGGTTTTGTTTTGGGTTTTTTTTTTTCTTATTTATTTGTTTAGTTTTGGATTTGTTTGTTTGGTTTTCCTTCCAAAATGTGTGTGTGTGTGTGTGTGTGTGTATCCGTGTTTCATAGCTCCTTTGAATTGACTTTGTCATCTTCATGGGTCCTTCATTAATTAATTAGATAAAACTCTTAAGATACATTCTCTGGCATGTTCCTTGAACATACTTACAATGTTCTCATTTGAAGATGACAAATATATGGCATACATACCATCACTTTTCTGTGCTGCACCCATAACAGACATCAAAATTAATCACAAACATTGCTTTGAAACATTCACAACACAAGTGCCCAGAAGGCACCAACCATAAATAGAATTGGAGCTAAACTTATCATTCATTTGTCATCCCTACCCTACTAGCACACTTTGTAAATGTTAATTTTGAAGTTGTCGATCAGACCAAATGATACTTGTTCCTACAAGATTATAGTGAAAACTCACAGCCTCGTGTTCCAATCTAGTACCGTTTTGTTAGGTGACATAATGTTTTATGGCTATAGTGTGCCTGTCTTTGGGAGGATCATACACTTGCCAGTTTTCCACACCCCATGACTCTCTGAGTTTGCACATTCATCAAGCTCGCCTGGTATTTTTCTTCACTGGTCCCTGAAGATATTTGCTTTTACTGTCATTCCTCTAAGGAATAGCTGTAGTTAGAGATGGAGTAGTATAAAACTGCTATTTGCAAAGGTTAAAAATGCTGAATATTACAATTATACATGATTCAATCTAATCAAAAAACAAGAAGCAAACAAAATTATGGTCTTTGATAATCTTTCATTTTTCAAAGCAGTGTATTTTCTATTTTGAATCACAATAATTTTCTGAAAGAAGCAGTGGTTTAGCACCTATTGTGCACAAAGCACCATGTCAGACTCCAGGGATGACAGGATATAAATGCACACCCTGCTTGCTTTGGAGGTACTTATGCCTGGTTTTCAAAAAGTGAATGATTTTATTTTCTTTTAGATTATGACCTCTTTGAAAGTAGAGGTTTGTTTATTGTGCTTTATTTTTCTATGTCTTTAGCCCATGACAAGTGTTCAATAAATCTTTGTAAATGAGTGGAAGGTGAAGAGATAGAGAAGGAAAGAAAGAGGGAGAGAGGAATGGAGAGTAATTTGGGAAGTACATGACAACCTGAAAAAAGAATGACTACAAAATTTTACCACTAAATAAATTCTATAATCCAAAATATTTTTGAAAATAATTTTTTAGTTAACTTCTATTTAGTTAGTTACTTATTTTTAATTTGACCAGAGAGGTACAGGGTAAGAGAGAGAGAAAGAGAGAGAGAGAGAGAGAGAGAGAGAAAGTGAGAAAGCAAGCTGCCAAGTCCAGGACCTAGCTCACAGTTGGCCAAATGGGAGTCCAGCACCGTTAGCCACCATGCCACCTTTTGGCCTCCATTTAAAATATTTTTAAAGTCATCCATGGAAATAGCTTTGGCTTTAAGTTGTTTGGGGTTTATTTTCAAAAATCACAGTCAGTTCAAAAGCATATATGCCTTCCACTATAAGTGAATTTCTTTTCTTTTTTTTGGAGAAGTTTTTGCTATAGTGCACGGGTGCTCACCAGAAAGACAGAGACAGACACAGTTGGCCAAATGGGAGTCCAGCACCGTTAGCCACCATGCCACCTTTTGGCCTCCATTTAAAATATTTTTAAAGTCATCCATGGAAATAGCTTTGGCTTTAAGTTGTTTGGGGTTTATTTTCAAAAATCACAGTCAGTTCAAAAGCATATATGCCTTCCACTATAAGTGAATTTCTTTTCTTTTTTTTGGAGAAGTTTTTGCTATAGTGCACGGGTGCTCACCAGAAAGACAGAGACAGACAGAAAGTGAGAAATCACCCCCCCCCCCCCCGGGGGGGGAGGCCACCCCACCACTCCATTCTCCTCTTGGGATCTTGAGCGCACACACACTCGCGCCCGGTGTGAGTTTAAGCCACTGGGTCCGGGACTCGAACTGCAGTTGGCTACATGGGAGTCCAGCAACGTAGCCATTATGCTAACCGCTGGTCCCCACTATAAGTGAATTTTTAAGTGAAGGCATCAACAGCAGTACCCTAAGTGTTCTTATCAATTGAGCATGATCAGAATGATCACTTCATTAGGTGATGATTGTTTAGAAGTATAAAACATAGTATCTATTAAATATTGGTTCCACATTTTCATACCAATATAAGAAACTATGTCATGTTTTTCATTTCCAATGCAAAAGACTCTCTTAGAACTTTCTAAATCATTATTAAAATTATCAAGGTAGGTGGTAAAGTTAATTTTTAAGCAATGCTTGATGAAATCAATTATCTGTAAGTTTATCTGGAAAGAGTCTTCTTTTAACAGTTCCTCTCATTGGAAAAGCCAGTAGTCAAATTTCTTTCTTTTACCTAAATCTAGACAGTATTAAAGGCAACTCAGCTCTAATGTTTCTATTATATTTGGGAAAAGTAGTCATCAGTCACCTTGAGAGATTTATTTGATGTAGCAATTTTTTTACTATGGTCTGTAGTCAACACGAGCTTCCTATTTACTTATAGCTCATCCCTTACTATACAAAAATAAATAGGGGCCAAAAAGTGGCATCGTGGTTAAGGTGCTAGATCCCACATGGCGGTTCGAGTTCCAGACCTGGCAACTTGAAACACACTGGACTCGTGTGTGTGTGTGTGTGTGTACCCAAAGTCCCAAGAGAAGGGAGGAGAAGGGATTTTGGTTGGGCCATCCCTCCTGCGAAGTGATTCACCTTTTCTCTCTCTGTCTCTCCTATGAGTATGCATACCATATAGCAAAATGTCTCTCTTTAAAAATAAATAAATAAAATAAATAATGTTCAAGTTAGATTTATTAGATATGTCTTTTTTTTGGAGAGATTTTTGCTATAGGGCATGTGTGCTTACTGGAAAGACAGAGAGAGAAAGAGAGACAGGAAGTGAAAAATTGCCCCCCAGGGGGACAGCCACACTATAATCCCTTTTCTTCCATTCTACTCTTGGGATGTTAGACATGCCCAGTGTGAGTTTCAAGTCACCAGATCCAGGAAACAAACCCCAGTTAAATACTTGGGAGTCCAGAGATGTATTCATTCTGCCATCTGCTGGTCTCTCATGTCTATTTTTAAAATATATTAGTTTATTTTTTCCATCACAACCATCTACCCTACTCCAAGCAGGCCTGAATTGCAAGCATGCACCTGTGTACTTGGTACGTGAACCAGTAACCTTTTTCACATAGGTCCAGGCATGTTACCATTGCACCACTATCTGCCCCTTTATGTCATAATGAGGAACAATTTTAATGACCAATTACAATAGTCTTGTTCTAGTTTGCAATGTATAAAATACAAATCACTATGTATTTCATATGCTATAGTTAAATATTTATCTGCATGGAATCTATTTTCACACCACAATGTTCATAATATAGTATTCAGTTAATATAAACAAAGACGACTACTATATATACAATTATACATACTTGTGTGGACACCTATATGTTTGCATCTTTGTAAAAGAATTATACACATCCACATTTTATTTCTGGAAACATACACACCAAAATTTTAACAGTAGTTATTTCTGTGAGTAGAAGATAAGTGTGCTTACAAAAGTTTTCTTTTTTTCTCTCTGCTTATCTCATATCCTACTATTTTATCCATCAACATATAGCAATTATAAATTAATACAAAACTAGTTGAATAAGAAAAGAAATGCTACCCTCCACCATCTCCAGGTGACATCTTTACTATCCAAAAATGTGCTGATGGCTTGAGGTGTTGATTGTTAAAACTAACACAACAAACTGGGAAAATGGACTAAAATCATTAAGATGGTTTTCTCTAGATATCTATAAAAATTACTGTTAAAGAATTGTCTTAATATAGAGATCCAAAATATCAGGGTCAAAACACCCAAGGCCAAACACCAAAACGTAATCATTGTATAATTTTGTTTGTCCGTTATACATCAATAAAGCTGAAAATAAAATCTCAATGTTTAGTCAGTCATGTAAGAAAGATTACAACAAACGAAAAAGTTCTAAGTAGAATCGGAGTAAACTAAAAATGGAAATCATATCTCTTCCATTTGTAGTAACATTATTTTAAATAGCTTTTTTATAGCAGTCACTGTTTTAGTCCTAGAAAAGATGCAGTTGTGATCATTTTTATTTTTTGTCTCAAAGAAAAGGCTGACTATTTGAAAATGTTCTCAATTCATTGCAAATAATAAAACCACTTGTATATAAATATTTAATTATAAAAGTAACATGTTCATAACAGAATGTTTAGAAGGTCATTTCAAATTCTATCACTCAGAGATAAGCACCAATAACATTTTGGTGTTCATTCATAAAATTGATATTCATTTTTATATTTGAAAACAGGAGGTTGGCGTTTAGTTATGTAAGTCCTCTAAACAGTCAGTGGGGGTCAGGTAACTATAGTTTTTCTCCATGTTCTGTGGCATGTGGAGATAATTGTAATGAAACAACATAATCATAGATTATTGTTTATCCATATTTAAGCACAGCTGTGACTTCTACCATGTATGCCACCAGACTTTTCTACAAAAAGAAAAAAAACTAAAGCAAAATGATATTATCAATTTCAGCAACCCAAAAAAAGAATGCATTCACATTCTTCTTAACTCTTCATTTCCTCCAGGGCAGATATCAGTGGATGGATTTATGCGCTATCTAAGTGGAGAAGAAAATGGAGTCGTTTCACCTGAGAAACTGGATTTAAATGAAGACATGTCTCAACCCCTTTCTCACTATTTCATTAATTCCTCACACAACACCTACCTCACAGGTATGAATTTATGTATTTTTTTCATTTACTTTAGCCAGTCTCAGCACATTTCACCAACCTCCTCTTTCTGTTGGTCAGAATTAAAAATGTTGGGGCCGGCAGATGGTGTGGTTGTTATGGCACTGGATTCCCATATGGCTAACCACAGTTTGAGTTCCAGACCTGGCAACTTATTTTCTCATTTTTTCTCTCTCTGTCTCTCTCTCTGGTGAGTTCACATGCCCTATAGCACATTTTAAAAATAATACTAGTAATCAATAAAACTAAATAAATATTTAAAAAAAATAATTGGAAGTATATTTTATTCCATTTCCTGTGAAATGCCTTTTAGAACTCAGGGATTTCCTTTACTGGAGTCTCTACCCATAAGTGATCATGTCCATGGGTTTGTGAAGCAATGTCATTATTTCTCTACAACCAATCTAAATGTTTAAGTCTTCTAAATTTTTTGCATATCTGACATCTTCAGATCAATAGAATTTTTGTAATAGAACTTCAAGCCATTTCCAATTCCTATCTATTTCTCTAGACTCTGTTCTATAGAAGGGCTCTGAAGCCCTTAATAACTTCTGCTGAAGATGAACTATTTTTTGCTCAAGGTGGGAAAGGGCTGCAGACCAAAAAATCAGCCTGTGAATGATAACATATACATCATTGTAAATATGTAAATAAAATAGGAAAACAAAATAATGTATTTTCTTTCATTTTAATTTTTTAAAAATTTGCTATAGGGCATGGGCACTCACCAGAAAGAGAGAAAAAGAAAATGTAGAAAGCATCACCCAAGGGAGATGACCATGCCACAATCCCTTCTTTTCTATTTTTACCTCCTAGGATTTTGGCCATGCATGGACACACACCTGGTGTCAGAACAATGTGTTTTCCAATTTAATCCTAATTAAGCAATGCCAAGAGTTTTGATAGCTTATTAAATAGAAAAATATTCATATGTTTCTTCCAGAATACTTTCTGTATTGCAGATCTCTAATCACAAGTTTTAAAAAGTCTTTGTAGAAAATCTGTTGGTGCAAAAAAATAAGCTTTTTAAAGTCCTTCTCATTCTTTTACTTCACTCAGTTCACCATCCAAATATATGTAAGAGAGCAAGACTTAAATACTCACAACCCAACCAAAATCTGGGGTCTCATTTGGCATTTGTGTGCTGTATAGATGCTCTACATGCCTTGGGGGTGATTGGATGTGCTCTTTGTCCAGGGGTGGGGATTTGTGTTACAGGATAGATCAGCATTGATATAGATATAAAGACAAAGGAGATCCAGGAAGCAGATAACCATGGAGGTATCTGAGAAATGTTCACATGGTCCAGTCATCTGACAACTAAGCAGTTCTTTCTTTAGAATTCCTTGAGGAGATCTGTTCCTTTCTGAGTTCAATGTATGTTTTGTTGGTTGAGTCTGGCATTGGCCTGGTATCCCACACTAGGTGAAAAACATCTTAGAACAGAAAGGAGTCTTGGAAAGAGAAAACAGTGTATCTTCCAGAGAGCCAGAATGAGCTATTTTAGGATGAGCCCATATAATTTGATCCTGACTAGTCAAAATCATGTCCTCTGAGCTCTACAGTTAGTTCAACTGCAATTCAGCGTTCTACATGTTCATTGGAAGGCTCTCAGGACACTTGTGGCCTTCTTTGTTCCAACTGATATTATCTACTAAGATTCATGCCACAAAACTAACTAGCCTGTCGTCTGAAAAGTCATGACATATTTTTCTATGCAAAAATGCATCATGACTTACCCAATGACCCAGTATGTCTATGTTTGGCTCATCCTAAAGTCTATTCTAGTCATCTATTGGTGCATGAAAAATTAGTCCAAATCTCAGTGGCATAAAACAGCCACCATTTATTTCGATCCACATTCTGTGGGTCAAGGAGTCAGATAGTGAATAATGGGGAATGGCTTATCTCTACTCCATGGTGTTTTACTCTTCAGCTGGGAAGAGAATGGAGAGAGAGATATACTCCAACAGCTTGAGTGCTAGAATCAACTGGAAGCTTCTCCAACATGTCTGACACTTAGGCTGGGTGGGCTCAGTTAGGACTGATAACCCAGTTGTCTACATGAGGTATCACCATGCAGCTTGGGATTCCTCACAGTATGGCAGCTCAGGATAAGGTTACATCTACTATATCAGGTTAGAGCTATAAAAACAAGTGTCCCAGAGAAGAAGGAGGAAGCTTAATTACTTTCTTGCACTTCTGAAGTTCCATAATGTCAGTTCTTTCTTTATTTGCTAAAACAGAAGTTTACCAAGATTCAAAAAGAGAGAACATAGACTCTTGATGAAAGGGGATCAAAGAATTTTCAATCTTATTTTATAATTTCAAGCAGGGAATTTTTACTTAGTCCACTTCTTTGGACTCAGTTCCTTAGGCCGACTATTAAAATTTTGCAGCTTTCAATCATGTTTATAAGCCTCTGTAGAGGAAATTTTTCCTTCTTAGGGGTTCTTAATTTTATTTTGTAGCATTGACCTATTTGGCTATCCAGTAAAGCCTGTGAACCCTTCTCAGAATATTAAATGCATAAAATAAAGTACCTAGAATTGAAAAGGAAATAAATTCTATTGGAAAATTCTATCAAATATTACAGAACAGTTTTGTGATGAAATAATATACTTTTTCATTAATGTAATTTAAAATTAGTATAATCAATCCATTGTAATATTTGCAACAATTCAAACATTACATGAAATTATCTATGATTTCTATTGGTGACAAAGTCACAGATCCTGTTAGTACTACTGTGACTTGTGACCTACCTTCATAACTGAAGAGAATATTTAATTTTACATAGAGGTTCAAATTATAGATATAATCTTTATTCTTATCCAAGTTCAAAGAGGTATGTGATTTGTCAAAACCTAAATCCAAAGAAGGATAACTTTAAAAATCATAGCACATGAGAGAATCTTGCATTCATCATATACTTAAGACCACAACACGCTTATGAATACTTAAATTATATCCAGTTGAGTTTTGGGTATTGTATACAGTTCATCTACTTGAAAGTCATAATATAGAGTGATTTTTCAGTAATCCTTTTAAGTCCAGAATGTCTTTTGATTTATGTATTTAAATATGTTAGTATATTATTGATCATATGATAAATAAGTCAGTAATGTCAAAATGATTGCATGGAATGAAGACTGATTTGATAAATATCTTATTTTTTTCACCTTCTTTCAGAATATGGTTTTTTTATTCCTCTTTCTGCATACATTATGGACTTACAGCTTTTGGATTTTATGGGTGTTCATTCACCCACAGCCACTATGCTCCTTTTCATGTTCAAATTGTCTCCATTATGATCAGTGGGAGCCCTTGGTAGACTTGCATCAGTGTGCTCATGACATGACCTACTGGTCTTTGAAAATGTCCTTGCTTCTGGTACATAAAGATCCTCCAGTCTCACCTTAGTATTCCATGTCTGCCTCAGACATGGAATCAGTCTTTTCCCTGATGAACCTGGGGTCCTTTTGGTGGAAAAAAACAATGGCATGAGTAACCCTAATTGGAACCTATAGTATGAAACATTGTTTTGGGACCATTTCACTGGGCAGAGGAAAAAAAAAATTTTTTTTTCCTTTTTAAGACATGTGTTCACATAGATATTTCTATTTCTATCTTCTAACTTATATTTTTGATTCTCCAACTGTGTTTCCTAACAAATTATATGTAATTACTTGCTTTCCTGACTTCTCAGTAGTTCTAGAAAACCAATCAATGTTAATACAAATAATAAAACCACATACTATAGTTTAAATTTTTCTCTACAATTTTTTAAATGTCTTATCACTAAGAATTTTTAGTTCACTTACTTTCTCTAAAGTCACTCATATTCCCTCCCTCTCTATAACGTGGAAAGCACACATGTGGTAGATAATTTGACTCTATTTGTGTCAGGAGTGTTAGCATCTTAATGGCTGATAGTTCTCAGAATGTGGAATTTTGGGCTATAAGGAAAGAGAAGGGTTCATACTAATTTTTTTTTCATTGCCACAGGGCACATACACTAGCCAGAGAGAGAAAGCACTCCCTAATTGGGCATGATCATGCCTGCAGTCTCTTCTCCATTGTTCCATTCTGTCAAGATTTTTTTTTTTTTGAGAGCTTTTTGCTATAGGGCGCGTGCACTCTCCAGAAAGACAGAGAGAGACAGAGAGACAGAAAGCGAGAAATCACCCCCTGGGGGGATGGCCACGCCGCAATCCCTTCTCCTCCATTCTCCTCTTGGGATCTTGGGCACACACACCTGGCATGAGTTTAAGCCACCAGGTCCGGGACTCGAACCATGGTCGACTACACAGGAGTCCAGCAACATAATCATTACGCTAACTGCTGGTCCCCATGCTGTCAAGATTTGAAGCACACACATACACATATACACACACACACACACACACACGCCCAGCATGTTTTTCAAGTCACCAGGCTGGGACTCAAATTGTGTGGTCAGTCATGTGGGATCCAGCTCTTACAAATAATAAGCCACAGGGCCAGTTGCACACTATATTTTTTTAAAGAATTATTTATTGGGAACCAGCAGTTAGCATAATGGCTATGTCGCTGGACTCCCACGTAGTCGACCATGGTTCGCGTCCCGGACCCGGTGGCTTAAAACTCACACCGGGCGCGTGTGCGTGCATGCCCAAGATCCCGAGAGGAGAATGGAGGAGAAGGGATTGCGGCGTGACCATCCCCCCTGGGGGGTGATTTCTCGCTTTCTGTCTCTATGTCTCTCTCTGTCTGTCTTGGGAGCGCACACGCCCTGTAGCGAAAACCTCTCATAAAAAAAAATTAATTAATAATAATAATAAAGAATTATTTATTTAGTTTTATTTATTATTATTAGTAGTAGTATCAATTTGACCAGAAAGAGAGAGGGAAAGTGAGAAAGCAAGCTGCCAGGTCTGGGACATGAGCCACAGTCAGCCACATGGGAAGTCCAGTGCCTTAACCACTATGCTACCTGACAA